TTGCTCCTCGATTGATGATTTTTTTGTTCTGTTGGACTCTGTTGGTCCGTAGATTTAGTTTTTGCGCTTTCATTTTCGTTTTTATGTATTAAGGATATATTTCTCTTTCAAACGTTTTTTTTAATATATTTTTACTTAAAAAAAAATAATAATAATAAACATACACACACCATTTTGTCCATCCCAGACCCTACCTCCTCTGTGAGGATGGAAACTTTTACCATTGGTCTAAGCCATTTGGCTATATGCACAATATTCATTATTAGTTGCGAGTGTTTGCCATCAGTTTACCAATACACATATTACATTGAAAGAAGTGTTAGGAATATAGTACAAATGATCTTATTAGTTGAAAGGAACAAAGTAACTAACTACCGACTGGATAAACTTTCTAGCCCTTTATCAAAAATCAAATCAAATTCATTCCAAAGATGTCAATATAATCAAATAGTTTCCAACATGAATAGTTTAGAAAATTAAACATTAAACACTCAAAAAATTGTACACCCCACAATTAGTTTCTTGGTAGGGTTCTTGTGTTCCTCCATGAAAGCCCTAACAAAGCTATTATTCAGACATATCAGGTGGCCAGGTAATATTGATGTGCATGCCACCTTACCAACTACCTCTCTCTTTCTCAAAGACAGTACTGCAATGGAGATTTTGCTAGGAAACCATCTCATCATCATCAATGATGATAAGACATGACCAACACATAGGGATGCATATGCATCCATGGTGATGGTGGATTGTTGATATATACCACATAAATTTTTGCATGCCAATCTCTCTCTGTAGATGACAAAAAGAATAAATTTAAAATATATATATATATATATTAAAATTTTAATACAAGAGTTGTCCAAGGATGAGGTGACAATAGGGTGTAAAACAGAGTTTTTAACTCCACAGTAAGACTACAAAACTTAGCTGTAAGACTCAAGGTGTAGGTAGGTAATGCAGATAGTATAGAGAGAGAGATGGCATGGGATTCTTTACTGAGTTCCAAGAACAATCCAAACAAGGGTGTGGATGCACAGGTATATGATACCACATATGGATAATAAAGGTATGAGTGAGACTGCCATATAAGCTCAACGACACTCAGTAACTCCACAGAGAAATCAGAAAAAATAAAATAAAATAAAAAGGGGGTTAAAAGAAAAATAGGATGAGCTCAGTAAGAATTAAATACCACAAATGGAAAATAAAGGTGGTTTTTTTCCGCTCTTTTTCATGATTTGCTAGATGTTAACAACACATAGAAAAAGGTGTTTGATAAGAGGGTAGAGGAGTTTTCAGTCTTCCTTTTCAAATATGTTTACTTGCATACAGAAAGTGAGAAGACCTAAAGCTACTATTTAATCAATCCCCACTAGTCTCTCTAGCTATCTGACATGACCTGAATAGTAGCAGTACACTCATGTAGTACTAACTCACATATAGAGGTAGAGACACTGTTTGAAGTAAAAGCCAGGGACTTAGGGGTATTATTGGAAATTTGAGCTAATGTATTTGTACAGTAATATAAAGGTGTAAGAAGTTATGTAACTGTACATAGGGGTGTCAGGAAAGGAGAGAGAGAGAGTAATGGTGGGGATCAAGTGAAGAGAGGTCTTTGATTTTGTTTGAGATTTTCATTCATTGATTGGGGAAGAGACACAGCTTTACTAACATAGAGGAATTGTCTGCACCTGCTGCTGATTCTTTCATTTCATTTACTCTCTCTCTCTCTACAAATATGTATTTGTGTGTGTAGATATATATATCACTGTGTGTGTAAGAAGAACAAGTGAGTGATTGTACCTGTCCACGTGCGTAGACCCTTATGTGCTGTTCCAAACAAACAAAAGCAGGCCCAACGGTTCATGGTCTTGTTTGACACCGTACCACATACAACTTGTATGACACTACAAGGCTGCCTCTTATGAAACTGTTTTTGATACTGAAGTATATAGATGATATCAGCAAGGTCACATGTTACCAGCTAAGGAAGAGAAGAGAGTAGAAAACTTATACAGTCTGGGGGTTCTCAAACAATTTCTAATAATCTGGACAACATAAAATTATTTTTCACTCAAATACATAAGATTGCTCTCCAACCGTGATCTTCTTTCTTATTTCACTCTGTGTTTGGTTCTTTTTTTCTTTTTTTTTTAATTGAGAATTAGTATTTTGTCATCATAGTTGAACAAATTTTCATAGTCTTTCAAAGAATATTTGAGCTAAGAATTGAACCTAATTTTATTTTATATAAACGCTTAGAAGGGACAGTATGGTTTCATTATAAGTTAGGAGTTATTCAAGAGAATGAAGGTGGGGCATTTCACCAAGCATGGTTAAAACTTGAAAGTAATTTTTATTTTTATTTATTATTATTTTTTTTAACCTCTCCAAGTTTGGACTCTACAAATCTCTATATATTTTCAACCTTAGCAGAATGTGTGTATGTGTGAAGCTTTAGAGATGAAATCTAAAGTCATAACTGACTCTCTAACTCATCAAAGTATGATCTTTCAAAAACAAGGTGCTCTTGTGCATAACCACATTTCATACACATATAATTTTACACACACTCAGGGAAGAAGCATATACCACATTTCATACACGTATACTTTAGGGATGTTTTTTGCACTTACCCTTATAAAAGATTAAGTGCAGAAAACACCTCTAAAGTATGCTTCTAGTGCATATCACACCCTTCAAGTGCAAAAAACACCCCTCAAGTTTTAATTTGGTACAATTAAGTCCTCCTGACATATTTAAAATCTAAATTGACCAAATTACCCTTATTAAATAGTTTTATAAATTATATAAAAATAATCCATGAATGAATTTATATAATGTTTTGAGTTGTAACTTCTAATGGGCAAATTAATGACATAATTAATAATATATTATAACATACACTAAAAAATGGGTATTAAAGTATAATATACCACACTAATTAATGATTTTTTATTAAAATATCCTCAACACTTTCGGGATCTGATGTTCCTGTAGTAGCATAAATCCACCGTGGTAAGGAAAATTCTCCGAAAGGAGTCCAAAGGGATGGCTAACGTCTGACAGATGTAAGTTTCAGTTAATTAAACTAAACTTAGCCAAGTTTAGGGTGGCCATTAAGGTTATTTAGGACCTGTTCGTATATCTATTTATATAATTATTTTTTCTGTGGCAGTGTTTTGAGGCCGATTGCTCTGGGTCTTTCTCTACTCTGGCTTCTTGAGAGCCTTATGAAAGACATTTGTTGCTCTGGGTACGCTGACCGCTACATTTCCACAAACACAGGCTGGTTCTGCTGATCCAAACAAAAGTTGGTCCCGTTGATTTCCATGATGCAGCAAATCATATTTGTCAAATTAGTTTTTATTTATTTATTATTATTATTATTATTCTTTCCATGATGTACCAAATGATTAAGTCTCAGAAGTTTTCTTTCCCCTCCAGTTACCCATCTATATTAGAAGTGATTCATGAAGATACCGAAACATTAAATATTTTTAAAAATTTTTTTTTTGGATTAGGCCATGTTTGTCCTCTTTGTTTCTGGTTATTATATATAAAAAGAAGCCCTTTCTCTAAGCGGATGGATCAGCGGACGACAGAGGATGATTGAGTGAAGAGGATGATTGTATGGGTATTTTGGAAAGAATAAATGGGTAAAATGGATATTAAATCACTAATTTATGTAAGATTTCTAACAGAGGAGTAATTTTGCACAATATCAAAAGATTAGGGGTGTTAAATGCATACTTTTTCAAATGGGAGTAAAAATACTACGAAAAGTATACTTTAGGGATGTTTTCTGTACTTACCTCTATAAACAATAAAGCCCATGATTGAAAAATCAGTTGGGTAAATCTCGGGTCGCTAATTGGGCTTTCCTTTGGGCTGGGCTACAGGCCTGACCTTGAATTCTTTGGCAGAAGCACCCCTTACAAGTTAGGAATTCTTTGACCCTTTTTTTTTTTTTTTTTTTTCTAAATAATTCTTTGACCTTATGTGCTGCATCTAGTAGAACCATGATTCATTCTGCGATAAGTTACTCAATTTCCTTTTGGTTGCTACTCTTTTTTTTCTCTGACTGTTCTACTGTTTATACAACTACAGTCAACATTCAGTTTGTCAAATATACATGTTAATCCTAAAAGATAGGGTTTGTATTTTACCCCAAAAAGATTTATCATATAGTTTAATTTAGATCAACTAAAGTGGCCTTTGGCCAAATAATTCTTTTTCTAACCATTGAATTCATTTTTTTTTTTTTTAAAATTGAAGCACATTGATTAAGTAGTTAAATGCATTAAAATAATATTAAGTATTATTAACCTACTGAAATGAAATCTACTAAGTGGTAGTCAATAATAATTACAAAAAGGTGTCTACTCAATGTCACAAGCCAGATGAATAAAATCATCAAATGGAACACTAATCAAACTCTACCACCAAAAGTAAAATCCTAAAGCAATAAGAAAAATAAAATAAAATCCTAAAATCAACCTCTACGCTTACGCCTATAATAAGAAATAGCTCATGCGACTCGTCAGAATCTCAATCCATAAGCCTAAATCTAAAACAAGTAATGACTTTGCCATACCAGCAGAAAGTGATACTATGTAACAAACAACAAATTAGATAGAACCAATATGACAGGTTTTGCTGATCAAGCTTCATATACCTACAGAGATGATTCAACTAAACTGCTTCTTTAAAGTAGTCATAGAATGTCACCATTGAAGTTACTTCAAAGTGTAGGAATTATCCTCTTTAACACATCATGAAGGTGAAACTATCCAAAACTACTAGCATGGCATGGTTTGACAAAAAAAAAAAAAAAAAAAAGCCCCTTAAATTCATCACCTGCATAAACTAATTTCAATCCAACGAACATATTTCAGTAACTTAAAAACAGCAACCATAAGGTCTTTATGTGGGGGGGGGGTGGGGAACATAGCTTTAAAAATAAATCAAGCTGAGCCAGGCTTCAGGTTGTTCAGCCTCAGCTCGCAGAAGTCAGGGAGAGTTCAGCTCCGGCTCAGGTACAAATAAGCCTAGACAAGCTAGGGCTAGCTCAACCATTCTTTAACCAATATCAGGCTTGGCTCCACTTGAACTTATACATGTTAAATCTGTAAATATATACATACAAAATATTCCAATATAGTCAAATTTGTGTGATCTTATATCATCTCTGTTTACGTGCGCAAGACACACCTTTGCCAAATTCTCCATCAACACCTCCTCTTCCACTGCCTATCCAGCATCAATATCAAGCACAAACAATATTCCTTCACTATCAGCAAATTGATATCGGCTTTGGACCTCATCATCCCCTTGCTTAAAATAAATGTTCACCTCCAACTGCACCAGACCCATTTCATGCTCACATTACAAGCTGACGAGTGATTAGAGATAGGGATGAGATACAGCTAGGGTAGGGTCAGTTGAGAGAGAGGAGAGCGATAATCTTTATTTATTTGGGTAGGGCTCCATATAGCCTCTAGATTTCCTAAACCCAATTGCCTACAATGGTCAACTTTGAAGATTAAAAGACTAACAAGTTATAGGTCTTCACAAGATATGGGTATTCACTCTGCATGAGCTTGGCAAGGCAAGCTTGATTTTGTTTGAACTCAATTAAGCTTTAGGCTTGAGCTCATTTACCAGTTGAAGAAACTCGCTGACAAGCTGAGCCCAAACTGTTAGTGGACAACTTAGTTCACTCTGTATGAACAACTTAGCTCATTTAAGCCCTAAACATGAATAATCCACAAATTTCTCAAACTCTCAAAAAGAATACAATAGAAACCAAATCATTTTTTTTTTTTTTTTTTTCATAATTAATAGAAAAAAGTTTTTGGGATAATCCAGTGGTGTTTCAGCATGGTCTAGAGCTTTCCACAGTTTAGGATGCACGGTCATCTGATGCGTCCTACCCTTGTCCTATGTGCTCGGAAAGGGGTTAAGACCATTATAGTAGAATCGAACAATTGCCAGAAAACTTATTCTGTGCTGATCCTTTACAATAGCATCCAGGGCAATTCCATAAAACATCCCTAATCAAATTAAAGCACAAGAATATCTATACTTCATCTAAAACACACTCAACGATCAGGTATAAAACTTTGTTTGGTGAAAGGAAGTGCTCTCAAAACAGTGCTGATTATGCACTACTGCCTATGTGCATCATGCTATGCGATACTTTAATAATGCATATCAACGTCACCATCATATGTATTTATGTATTTATCCTTTTTTATTTTTCATAGATATCCTCTAAAGCCAAGTCCATAAACTAAGCTCCATTCCTCATGCTCCAAGCAGGGCTTGAACTAGGGGTGGCAATGCTTGACACAACATGCTAACACAATACGGAATAAGTGGATTTGAGTTTGCCTTAGTTGTGTTCAGAGCATAATCCTGTCAGCTCAGATTGACAAACTAATTAACAATGTTGTGTTTGTTTTGACCTGCCAACCAATTTTAACTTGATTAGACCCATTTAACTAAACCTGTCGTGTCAACAAGTATACAATCAAACCCTTTTGCTACCCGATTAAACATGTTTAAATGTAACATCCTAAGAATATTTGGTTTGATTTGTCAATTTGTGTCTTGCTAAGTCATTGTTGTATCATGTCAGGTCTTAACCAATTTATCAAACAAGTTATGCAGATCATGTCATGTTACCTATTTAATAATTGTGTCATGTTTGTGTCAAGGTTTCATGACATGAATAATAATCATGTCTTGTTCGTATCAACCCATATAGCAGAATACACGTCATGAGTCTCATGACCTCTGTTACATGGACTCTTCAAAAGTAGTGAAGTACCAGCGTCGGACACATATCCCTCGGACATGGATATGAGATATGTGTCTGGCACTTTTGGTTGGACGTGGAATTTAAAAGCATAGCCAATAATTCAATTACATTATATTATTCCTTTAAATTGAATTAAATGCCTATATTGAACATTATATTAGATAAAAACATTACTTTACTCTAGAAAATAAAATAAAATAATTAATAAAATGAATATTTAGCCGTGTCCGTGTGTCCGTCTGTTTGAAGATTTAACACGTCCGACTCATTGATACACATCAGTGTCCGACACCCGTACCCGCGTCCATGTAATATAGCTCATGACATGATACGAGTACAATACAAAAACACCATTTGACACCTCTAGCCTAAACTGCTATTTTGAATAAATCAAAGAAGTTAGTTGGGCTAACTATTGTTTGATAGGGATAAATAGGTCATCCCACGGGATCAATATACACTACTTTGTGATCCATCAAACAAAATACAACAACAACAATCAAGCTTTTTCCCAATTATTTGGGATCGGATACGTGAATCCTATGTTTACATTCCGCTCTATTTAAGGCAATAACTCAGTCAATCCACGTGCTATCATATCTTTCTTTACTAAAAGTACCTACGTTAACTTTGGTCTTCCTCTTCCCCTAGTATTACCCTCAATATAAACTATGTCACCAACACACTTCAAGGTCTTCTTTGCACATGTCCAAATCATCTTAACCAATTTTATCTCATTTTTATCTCCAATTAGGCCTACTCCAAGTCTCCAACCATCTCCCGAATGTGATCATTTTTAATTCTATCATTTCTAGTCTTATCACACATCTATCTCAACATTCGTAATTCTGCCACACTCACCTTATGCAAATGTTGTTTCCTAGCAGCCTAACATTCGGTGCAATGAAGTATGGCTGGTCTAATAGCTATTCGATAGAATTCCCCTTTCAATCGGAAGGGGATACGCCTATCACACAATATACTAGGTGCACTCCTCCATTTAACCAATTCTGCCTTGATTCTAAGATTAACGTCATCTTCAATTTCTCAAGTTTTCACTAGACATCAATGGCATCATCCTACAATCCCCTCCCTTGTCAGTTATCACGTGATCAACCAAAAGTTTTTTAGCAAAAGTGTTTGACAATCAATGTTTCCGGTCCTCTTTGTTCTAGAAATTTCAAATTACAGGACTGAAAATAATTTCCAATTCATAGCAAGTGTGCAAGAACAATGTGATGACCCTATGGACAGGTGTGCCGTGGGCGGGTGCGAGACAATGTCAGGCTACCACACTGGCGAGTTACGGGTGCACAATCCCACATCGTCTGGGAAAAGGAAAGGTGAAGTGCTATGAGGCCTTTTAGGATAAAGCTCAAGAGTAAAACCGTACAGGCTTAGACCCAAAGCGGACAATATCATACCATGTGGCAAATGGTATCAGAGTCTGACCCAACTGGAAGTGTGCCGACAGGGACGTCGGGCCTCCAAGGGGGGGTGGATTGTGATGACCCTGTGGACGGGTGTGCCGTGGGCGGTTGCGAGACACTGTCAGGCTACCACACTGACAAGTTACGGGTGCACAATCCCATATCGTCTGGGAAAAGGAAAGGTGAAGTGCTTATATGTAGGTGTGTCACTCCAATTGGTATGAGGCCTTTGGGATAAAGCTCAAGAGTAAAACCGTGCGGGCTCAGGCCCAAAGCGAACAATATCATGCCATGTGGTGGAGTGGGTCGTTACAGACAATGACACAAATCTAGATAGTTATGATCATTTCAGATCAACTTAGCCTAGTATATTGTAATTGGCATGTGTAGAACGTTTAGAATTTTCATTATCATATATACAACTCAAGCCTTCCTGTGATGAAACTGTTTTTTATTCTGAGCTATTTAGCTGATATCAGCAAGGTCACATGTTACCGGCTGAGGAAGAGAATAGAAAACTTAAAAGAGAGTCCGGGAATGATATCTAGTTCTACTGTTCTGAAACAATTTATTTGGACAACATAAAAGTAATTTTCACTGAACTGTGATTTTCTTTCTTTAATTTCATTATGTCTTTGCTTAAGTTTTTATATTTTTTATCCTAACCTTTGAGAATTAGTATTTTGCCATTGCAGAATAAGAACATAGAGAATTATATAGTTAAATTGTTTGGCTGACCAAGAATGTGAATATTTGTTTAGCCAAAAAAAAAAAAAGAAGAGTTTAAATAGGAGTCACAAGACCTAATTTCATACAACAATCTTTCAGTCTAGAATATCTGAGCTGAGAATCAAATCTAATTTTTTTTTATAAACTCTAATAAGGGACACTTGTATTTATCTTACAAATTTTATTAGAACTCTCAGTCTTACTTTATATCATGATTTCATTAGAAGTTTGAGTTATTCTACAGAATGAATGGAGGGACGAAACATGGTTAAGACTTGAAGGTAATCATTTTTTTTTTATCCCTAAGTTTTGGACTCTGAAAAGCTCTACGCTTTCAACGTTAACAGACTCTATCTATTTGAAGCTTTAGAGATGAACTCTTAAGTCATAATTGATCTCATCAAGTCGTAAGAGTATCATCTTTCAACTACAATGTGCTCATGTGCATAGCTTAGGTGGCTGCTTCTAATAAACTGCACAGCAAAAACTATTCATGCCTTCGAAGTACAACTATTGCACCATTAATTTCATCAAGTAAGCATCAAGCATGCAATTAAAGAAGTGTTTCCTCTGTGTGTGTGTTTCATTCTAGTTGTAAATAATACTAACATGTATTAGTCAGCGTCAGATAACATATTTGTATAATTTTACACAAACTCACTCAAAAGAAGCATATAAAACAAGTAGAGCCCATGATTCCCTCAGTGATAAGTTCCTCGATTTCAAATGAAAAGATCAGTTAGTCTGATCTTGGGTGGATAATCAGGCTATTCTTTGGGCTGGGCAACAGGCTGAACCTTTAATGAAGCATATGCACGCCTTATAAGGTCTCGGGCTGAGAATGTGCTGCATCTAGGAGAATCCATGCTTCATTGAGTGATAAGTTAGTCGATTTCCTTTCGTTGATACTCTTCTTTCTCTCTATTGTTCTACTGTTTATGCAACTACAATCAACATTCAATTGTCAAATACTCGCATCAATGACAGGTTTGTATTCTGCCCCCAAAATTATTCATATAGTTTAACTTAGATAAACTAAAGTGGGCTTTCCGACTTGTGTAGTGTTTATGGCCAAATAATTCTTTTTCTAACCATTCAATTCATTTATTAAAATTGAAGTACAATGATTAAGTAGTTAAAAACTTTAAAATAATATGAGAGAATTGGTGAAACACAAATCCTAGTCTTATCTCAATCTACACTATTAACCTAATGAAATGAGATTAGGTGGTCATTTAATTTTTTTTTTCTAATTTCTTTCTATAACGAAAGGTGCCCTACTCTCTTTAGCAGGGGACTGATCCCTTCGGATTACCCATACCCACCAACAATCACTCCCGAAACGGGAAAAGTCAATTAGGGTATCACCACACCTCTGGTGATCTTAGACAGACTAAGGATGCCAAATGTTGAAACGGCAGTCCATGATGGATCATTTGGAAGTGTAACTGTTGAAATTGAGCACATCCGACCAAGAATCAGATATTTTTGCAACTACAACCACAAAAAAAAAAAAAAAAATAGAGAGGATCTAGAATTGATTCCCAAACTTTAGGTCCACACCATCCCGGCAAAAATTAAAGGAAAAAAAGGGGAAAATAAAATAAAATAAAATAGAAAACGATAAGAAAAAAACTTGAACTCAGCAGGATAGCGGACAGACTCACTGTTTTGTACTAGCGGTCATGCTGGGATTAACAAATCCATATTAACCCCAATCTATTACATTGGCCTCAAGCTGAGGTCTTGGCGAACCCATGTCCAATTTGGGCTTGTGTCACTCTTCAAACATTGCAAGACGTTGTAAATGAGACAAGATTTAAAATTTTCTCCTTCTATACTCCTCCAATTTAGATAATAACAGGGGAGCATGTCTTCAGCTAGGTTTCAAACATTTTCTACCATCTCCCCTAATGTGACTTCTTCTATGTGAGACCTGACTTCACTCTTAATAAGTTTTCTGAGGTTGCTTAATTTTCCCAACACTTAATATTGTAGAAGTTTTGCAGGCAAAGCATGTAAAGAAGGTGACGCAGAACCGATAAGAGGGAGAAGAGGAGATAAGAAAATTAAGGGGAAGAAATCTCTGTAATCTCTATAAACAATAGTCAATAATCACAAAAAAGGTGTCTACTCAGTGTCACAAGCCAAATCTTCTATGCCTACGCTTAAAATAATAAGATGTGGCCCACACGGCTCATCAAAATCTCGAAGCCATAAGCTTAAATCTAAGAAAAGCACTGACTTTGCCATACGAGCAGTAAGTGATACCATGAAAGCAACAACAAATTAGATAGAACCAATATGACAGATTTTGCTGATCAAGCTTCATATACATACAGAGATGCAGATAACCTGCTTCAAAGTTTAGAAATTTCCCTCTTCACATCATGATGGTGAAACTATCCAAAGTACTGGCATGTCATGGCTTAGATTTATATTTAGACATGTTAGCCATGAAGAAACATGTATGCAAAAGTTGAACAAGGGTACTTGACGTTAAATAGGTACATAGCATATCATACTGATTGATGCTGTAAAGGTTTTTATATTCGCTCTCTCATGTGGCTATTACTTTGACGGATCTAAAATTTCCCGTTGCCTGCTATTGCCAGGCCAGGACAAATTTAATTTAATACTCAAGAAGGAAATACCAACTTTTGAAATACCAAACACACTCACATCAGGGTTCCTTGGCACGAATAATAATCATATCTTGTTTGCATCAACCCATACAACATAATACACGTCTTGACATGACACAAGTACAAAACAGAAACACAAATTGACACCTCTAGCTTGAACTGCTTTTTGGATAAACAGAAAAATTACTTGGGCTAACTATTTCCGTGATAAGGATAAACTGGTCATCCCAAAGAATCAAATAAACACTACTTTGTGATCTCCATCAAACCAGTGCAAAGCCTTAAAACACCAAAAAAAAAAAAAAAAAAAAAGCAGGACTTTCATACCAGTTACTTCCATGAGATGCATACCAAAACTAGCATATGATGTAAATTTTAAGATTTAGACGATAATAGAGGCTCAGATCTATAAATAATAACACTCATAAGCATCACTATCACTCCAAATTTGTTTCCTTTTTTTCTCAAACTCTTCAGAGGTTCACACACCTACTCAGCTATATTCTAGACCCTACTGTCTTAAAAATAGAAAATTCTAAGGAAAAAAAGAAAAGGAAAAACTTTAAATTGTATGACTATTCTGTCTACCTCTCCATATATTCAGCTTTTTAAATAGACTATATCCAGTTCATTTATAAGAGCAACCTAACTGAGCTTTAAAGTTCTCAAGTTTCCATTAGAGATGATCAGTGGCATCATCCTACAACCCCTCCATATTCCCTAATAAAATAGAATTATCAGATGTGACGAATGACGAATTAACTTTGGTAAAGGCACAAACTAAGGGCCTTATGATACTGAATATGTGATAGGCATGAGTGCATAGCTCATCTTATGGTGTAATTTGTGTCATATGATCACCCAATAGTTACCAGCAGAAGTGCTTGACTATCAGTGTTTTCGGTCCTCCTAGTTCTAGAAATTTCAAATTACAAGACCAAGAATATTTCCAAATTTAATAGCGAGTATGGACATTGACATAAATCTGGATAGTCATGATAATTTCAGATCAAATTAGTCATGTTAATTTCAGATCAAAATAGCCTATTATATTGCAACTGGCTTGTGTAAAACGTAAAGAATTTTCCTTATCATATATACAACAACTCAGACTACTTGAATTTTCAAAGTTCCGGTTCATCTCTAGAGCAGAAGTCACAGCATAAAATTCAAAGCTTATGAGCCCAGTTGTATCAAAAGAAGAAATATGAACTTATATTGCACAAAATGTACATTTGAATATCACCCACAAACATGACAACAACCAACAATTTACCCAGAAATTTTCATTTTACTATTAAATTGAATATACATGTAGATGAGGAGCAAGAAACTTACTACAACCTTCTCCCATCAAGCAATCGCAATCGCATCTCAATCAACTGCACATTGAACTCCCCATCACTAACTTTCAACATCTCCGACAACGGAAGTGACAACCCATGTTCGACCAAAAGCCTATGCCGAGGCTTTATCTTTCCCTCCAAGCTAAACGAAAAATACTGAGGAAACCTCTTTAGCTCCACCAAATCCCCATTCATCTCCTTCAAAAAATATTCCACCTTTGGCTGAAAATTATTCATTATACTAAATGTCAACAACCCCGGTGATCTCAAAACCATGTTAACTACCTCCTCATATGAAAAACCCAATTCCTGCAAATAATTGAGCTTTGGCACAAGAGTGCCATCCACACTCGAAACCAACAACAACGTCGACTGGCACGTGACTGCGTTCTGCCCCACAAACCCTAATTCTCTCAAGAAACACAGTGTGGGTCTCAATTGATCGTCTACGCTACAAATCAACAATCTGGGGCACCGAATTATCGATTTTCTGATATCGTGAAAGGGGATATTCACGTCGTTTAATAGAAAATCAAATACGGGGTAGAGAACGGTGTAGGGATCGCAGGTTAGCAGCTGTGGATGCATATCGAAGATGCGGCCCAAAGCGGACCGCTCTATTCCCATTGAAAAGAGGCATTTCTCGACAGACTTGAGGGAGCTGAGTGGAGCTGATCGTATATTAGGGTTTTTGTTGAGCGCCTTGGTGGGATTGACTTTGAGGGCTTGGAGGTAGAGGAGTTTCTCGCGAAATCGGAGGCCTGAACCGGAGGTTGGTGATGGAGTGGTGGTGGTGGTTGTGGTGGTGAGTTGGGGGGCTAGTGATGCTCGGATATGGAGGGATGTGAGAGCATTGATAGATTTTGTATGGAAGTTTGTCTTAGGGTTAGGGTTTTGGGAGAATTTGTGGGGGGAATTGAAGGAAGAGTAAGGGATTAGGGTTTGGGGAAGGACTTGCAGTCGAATTATCATCTCAGGCGTTTGAGGTGAAGATAAAAGAGGGAAACATCTCTTGTTTTGTGTCTAACCGTTGTAACATTACGCCAATTTTTTTGGGTTGTCTAAAATGTCCTTAACAAGAAAATTGTTCTTATTCCAAAGATCAAGCATCCTGTGACTATGTCTCATTTTCGGCCTATCAATTTGCCATTTGTGTAATGTTATTTATAAAATTTTCTCTAAGGTCCTAGTCAACCGGCTTCAACCTCTTATGGTTATCCTAATTTCAGACTGTTTTTGTGCCCCCATAGAGTCATTCATGAGAATGTACTCCTTGTTCATGAATTCATGCATTACCTCAAGGCCCAACGGAATGGCAATTTTGGCTTTCTGGCCTTAAAGCTTGATATGGAGAAAGCTTATAATCGGATTGAATGGCACTTCCTTAAAGGTATGCTCCGGAGTTTTGGTTTTGGCAACAAATGGGTTTCCTGTGTTAACTCATTTTCTTTCTCTGTGCTAATTAATGGTGAGTCGGGAGGCATTCTTCAGCCTTCCAGAAGTTTGCGTCAAGGAGACCCGCTCTCGCCTTTTCTTTTTCTCTTATGTGCAGAGGGTTTAAGCATTTTGTTGTCTCATGCTGAACGGAATAACATCATCCATGGGGTGAAGATTGGTCATGATTCTCCCTCTATCAGCCATATGTTGTTTACGGATGATGCAATCCTCTTCTGTAAGGCTCAGGTGGAGGAAGTCTCATCTTTGATGCATATTCTTGATCATTATTCTTCTTTATCAAGTCAGCGCATTAATTTTGCCAAATCCTACGTTTTCTTTAGTCACAATACTGATAACTCTGTGCGCTCTCATCTCTGTCGCATCATGCGTGTCCTAAACTCTAATTAGGCGAATAAATATCTTGGTCTTCCCTCTATACTTCAAATATTTAAAAGGGAAGCGTTTCGTTTTTTGTTGAATAAATTTGACTCCAAAGTAAAACTATTGAAAAATAATTATCTCTCCCGTGTTGGAAGAGAGACGTTATTAAAGTCGATCCTGGCGGCCCTTCCGACATATACCCTTCAATGTTTTAAAATGACTGACTCCTTTGCTCAAGAGAATGTAAGCAAACTTCGTCTTTTTTGGTGGAAAGGGGCGGGTGAAGGTTCTGCCATTCATTAGGTTAAAAGGGAGCGTCTGTGTGAGCCCAAATGTAAAGGTGGTCCCGGTTTTCGGGACATTTTGGATTTCAATTTGGCTTTTCTTGCTAAATTCGATTGGAAGATGATTCAAGGGGACTTCTCCAACGAGCACTCTTTACTTTACTCGATTTTCAAGTCTAAATATTTTCCGGATTCCTCCTTATTAGATTCTTACTATCCAGCCAATACATTTTGAGGATGGAAAAGTATTTCAGCTTCCAAAACTCTTCTTAAAAAAGGGATCCTTTGGGTTGTTGGTGATGGTTCTTCCATTAATATTTGGAATGACAATTGGCTCCAGATGGAAGTCGCCTAACTCATTCATCATCATCGCACTGTACCTGGTCCAGAAAGTTGAAGAGCTTATTGATCAGGATTTTAAGTCATAGAATAGGCCCCTGATCAATCAGCTCTTTAATCTTAGAGATTCGAAACTCATATTTCAAATTCCCTTGAAGTTTTCTGGTGGAAGGGATCGTCTCTCATGGGGACCTTCTCCGAATGGGATATTCACAGGTAAATCAGCATATAAGTTGGCTTGAAAGGGATTGTAATCTGCCGATTGTCCCCGCCCTGCTTCTAGTTGTTAGGAAACGTGCAAGTTTTAAAAAATTCCTGAGGGATTTTCATACATAAATCTTGATTCATCATATAAAGACAAATTTTATGCAAAAATAAAATATGATGTATCATTTAATTAATTTACATCAAAGTTTGAGTAAACCTTAGATCTCTCCTCTAAAGTAAATGGTCTCACTTATTATAGATCCCTTTACTAGATGCCTTCTCATTGGATCTCCATCTTCTTGGTAATGGTCTTACCTTTAGGAATCACCCAAGCCTCCATGAATGACCTTGGAAAATTAGGCTTGCGAGAGCCTCCATTAGATGAGAACGCTAACCCTAAAATTTTAAAGAGAGAAAAATATATATTCCTTTTACTTCCAAAAGTCCCCCTAAAATGTACATGGACCATGTATATATAGACAACATAAAGATAAGGAAAGGAAATAATAAATCCTTCTCAATCTCTAATTACCATGCATATCTCAAATTTAATAGGATTCCAATATCAAGTTGGACTATGAGGGAGAATCCTTTGGACTTATTATCTTCTTGGCTACAATGAATTAATAATTGGCCCGATTCATGGACCCAATTGAATTAATTCATAAATTAATTTCTACTCCACTAAAAGAAATTAATTAAACTCCAATTAAATAATAAATAACCTCTAAGTCAATGTTGCCCTTTGACCCCTCTATGCATAATTAGTTATCGGATAAATAAAGTCATCAATCCGACTACTTAATTAATATATTTATTTTGGTTCCTTTAATTATTTTTGGCTGGATCATAATAAAATATTTGTTTGACAAAAATAATAATTTAAATAAATAAATATATAATAAATCATTTTTGTCTAAAAACATACGAAGGCCTTCGAATTTACTTTGTAATCAACCACAATCAATACAAAATAAATACAAGTAGCAATGATGCAAATATTGAAAATATAACCCTCTAACTATTAACTACATAATTACCCAAAGTGCCGGTTTAAGGATTCCGAAGATTCCGCCGAACAAATCAAAATAATTACTAATTAATAAAAGAGTCTATACTTCTCTCATGCTTAAGAGTCAAATGTCATGATGGTGATAGGGAGCAATTGCATGCGACGGCTTTCGCAATATATCTCAACCTAACGCGGATCCAGTTCAAATCTTAGTTAATAATGAGTCTATCCATAATTACCGACTATGAACAATTTATGATTACTATTTATATTCATGTATTGATCGTCATCACATACATATATAAATATCTCTTGTAATCAAGTGGACACTATTTATTCTATAATGAATCAAAACATAATACATTGAATTCACCAATTATATAAATCATAAATATTTCAGATATGTCAGGAACATATGTCACTATAATCCAAATAGAATTTTGCTATGCCAGGGTATATAAATCCCAACACTAGTATCATTCAAGAGAGGAAATGTTTTTGAAAATCTATATGGCGTTTGAAAGTTCCAAGAAAAGTTATTTTATTTATTTGGCAATGTTGCCATGAGAGACTTCATGTTCGTGCTAATTTGGTTTTTAGAGGTTGTCGGGTTGATCCCCATTTCAAAAGGTGTGGCTTCGAGATGGAAACGATTGGGCATGTGTTTTTCTTTTGCCCCTTTGCGAAGGTGGTTTGGAAAGCTTCCCATCTGAGAGAGATTTTTTTCAAATGAGTTCCCTCATTTTTGGAGTCAATCATGGTCCCTTCTTGTTGATAAATGGTCCAGCAGCCCCCTAAAAGATGACTTATGTAGTTTGGGTGCTCTTATTTACTGGAACTTGTGGAAGGTTAGAAATAGTTATGTCTTTCTAGACATTCAGAGAGATATGGCTGAGGTTATTTATCAAGTTAATGTCGATTTCTCGAAGTTCAGTGAGGTTTCAAGATTTAAATCTATGTTCTCTCCAAAGGCGGAACCAGTTCCCTCCCTTCCTCTCGGTGGACGTCTCCCCTTGAAGGATCTTTTAAGCTTAATGTTGATGCTTCTTTTGACTCTCGATCGAATGTCCGTGGAGGCGGTTTAATTCTTAGAGATTTCAGGAGTTGGCCTATCAAAGTTGCTTCCATTTTCTTATGCCATGTTTATAATTCAGAACTTGTTGAAGCTCTTGTTCTCTATGAAGGTATTCGGCTGCTCTTGCATTGGGGTTATATTAAAATGGCCGTGGAAGAGACTATCAAAATGTTATGAGAGGGTCCCCTAAGGCTCCCCTTGTTGCAGTGGTGCTTAAGGATATTTCTCATTTACTTCGTGTCTCTCTTGGTTGTTGTCTTGTCTGGGCTCCTAGGTCTTGTAATGGTGTTGCTCATGCTTTGGGTAAACATGCCCTTCAAGCTAAATCTTCTGATTTCAGTTGGGAGGTATGGCCTCTCTGGCTCTCGCAGGTGGTTGAGAGGGATCTCCATTCTTTTCCTAGCTGAGGCCAGTGGTTTTTGTTTTGTTATTTTTGTTTCTCATGTTGCTTTGGTTAAAAAAAAAAAAAATGTTAAATTAAATAAACATGAATCAACCAATGAGTTTGTTGAAAAACTAATAATAATATCAGCTGATAGTCAGGTCTTATGGGCCCCGTGGAGCCCAAAGTCCCCCTTATCTTTTTCGGCCCATTTTGTATTGGCTTTGATTGTTGGACGATGATATTTGCATAGGGCTACAAACGAGCCAAGCCGTTCGCGAATTGCTCGGGCTTGGCTCGTAAATTACTCGGCTCGAGCTCGAGCCGAATTATGAGACTCGATTCATAAACGAGCTAAGTCTGAACATCAGTAGGCTCGACTCATTTGTTCATGAACTGTTCATGAACTAAGCTCGATAAGGCGTTCGCGAACATGCTCGATTATATATACACACACACACACACACATATCCAATTATAATATATAATTTTATGTTATGAAGGCTAGCCCATGTCTTATGTCTAACCCTAATCATCTTCCCCTTTTCTAAAATTATCAGTAACCCAAGCAGCAGCGGCAACACATGCAACAATCTGCTTTCTATCATGGAATCTCACTTCTCTCTCTTTCTTTTCTTATATTTTATCATCTCATCAAGCAGAAGCGGCAACACACTTATATATTAATCGTCTTTCATCCAAACTGATTTTTAGTATAGATTTTGGAGTATACTATTGATCTGTGCATCTCTTAATTTCTTCCATCAAAATCAATTCTGGTAAGTTTAATTTTTGATCAAATTTATCACTTTCTTTTTCTTTTTCTCTCAAACTTCTCTCTTTTTATTGCTGCAAATCTATTTCTCTCTCAATTTTTTTATTTTTTTATTTTTTTGTTCTAGATCGGTTAGATGGGAAGTACCACCAAAAAAAAAATAATAATAATTAAACGAGCTATTGAGCTCGGCTCGAGTCTTGTCGTACATAGCCGCGCCGAGCTTAAACACTTAAGCTCAAGCCAAGCTTGAACATGCTATCACCTGACCGAGTCAAGCTCGAGCACACCATTACTCGGCTCGGCTTGTTTACAATCCTATATTTGCAAAATATTTGGGTTAGAAGGTAAATAGTGGAACGTTTGTTGTGATAGTGTGCCACATACAGTGACGGACCCAGAAAATTTGGTGAGGGGGGGCGAATTTTTAATTTGTTGGTACAAGATTATATGATGGGTTCATTTTTGTAATTTTAATAGGGTTTTTTTCATAAATTTTTAAAAAAATTAAGTATAAAATGAAAAAAAAAAAAAAAAATTAGTGGGGCAAATTATAATTATAGTGGGGGCATCTTCATAAATTATCAAAATTTGAAGTATAAAATGCTGAAAAAAAAAAGAATCTAGTGGAGATGAATTGTAATTTTAGGAGGGTCATTTTCATAAATTTCAAAAAAATTAAAGTATAAAAATGAAAATATTAAAAATTCAGGGGCATCCGCCCCCTAGTCCCCTGCTGGGTCCATCCTTGGCCACGTAAAGGTTGATTCTCAATAATTTTATTAAATTGTGTTTGAATAACAATTTTAGAAAAAAGGAAATTATACGTATCTATCTCCTAGCATCTCAGTTTATGATAACGATAACATATGCAAATTCAATTTTATACATTGATGGTATAGATTTTGCTTTTTAGTATCATGTTTCACTTCAGTCATTTCAAAATAATAAATTTAAACACCGATCCATGCAGCTAAACCAATAAATCAAGTTGTTTATGCATTTTAAATCAAAAAAACAGCACCACACTATATTAAAGACACAACGCTCATATAAATAAATTTCCATATAATAATATATTTTTATCAACTTTACAATACTCGTGTAATAGTATTACATTGCATTTTCAATTTATTTAAAATCTAAATACACAAGAGTGCTGGAGTAGGCACGCAATGTCCCCTGTGCAATTTACATTTCTAGAACTTTGCACAAAACGGGAGAGAAATATATTAGGAAGATGGAATGTGTAAATTAAGAAAAAAAGTAGGGATTTGTTTAGAATTTCCCCTGGGTCTTGTTGACTCTTGCACGTTTCTCAAGTTACGTGGCGGATATCCATGTCGTCAGACCAGCTCATCAGTTAATGGAATATGGATGCGCCACGTAAGCAAAAAAATTTCATTTGGACCAAGAATTGACCGATGCATCTAAACTTAACACAGTCAAATCAAAGGACTCCAGAGTCGAGAGCATCAAAGTTTGCAGACTGAAGCAGAGGCTAAGGTTTGACCCATCATTATCGATGTTAGCTCCGATACCTGTTTTATTTGACCCATCGTTATCACATTTTTGTACCATAAATCTCTTTTATTAATATTTATTATTTAATATAATATTTTTTTAAAATTCGATTTCAAATTTTCAAACCTCTAATTTTTAATTTGATATTTTTATCCTAAAATAAAAAAAAGAGACAAGAAGTTGAAATTCATTTCAATAAACAATATTAACTATTCAAATGGCTTAAAATGGCCCTATTTATCATATCACTTTTCAATAAAGCTTCTTGAAAATTTTGTTGAATTATTTTTGGGTTAGGTCGATTAGAGTAGTCTTTGCAAGGAAAAAGAAAGTAGTATTGCCACAAACAATGATTCATTGTTGAGGCAACAAAATATACTCGTGAAAAAAATTATTACGAACGTTTGAGAGTATTAAATTAGTATTTTGAATTTGAAATTGAATGAAATTTAGTTTAAAGTTTGTATTAAATTTTCTTCAATTTCAAATATAAGACACCGATGCATTACAGCCAAACATAGCAAGCCCCCGTATTATATTGGTACGCTGGCTTGTAATTGCAATAGAGAGCTACCACCTGCCAGCAAGAAAACCCCTTGGAGCATGTGGTTTTGTGCTGACTTTTATAAACAAGAATTCTTAGTTCATAACAAATAAAAACATGTTCTTCTATTCTTGAAACGCTTATATCAGTAATTGTCACATTAAAAGAAAATGATAATAACTACACATAATAACATAAACATCACCAAATCGTATAATACTAAGAAAAACATTTAGTTGGTAGAGTGTTCAGTTTTCCGAACAGATGTGTCCCCTTACCCTTCAGTTGCTAGCCTGCTACAGTAGACTCATCCCCTCTGATAGGATTCATGGATGCAAGGGTACCAAAAGTTATTATGACTTGATGATTTTGTAAATATGCTCAAAATTCTAAGTACATGCATTTTTCACAGCGAATTCTACACTTGCTTAGAGTTGACAGCGAATTGAAACTTGAGGTGTGAACTGTTGTACTTGGTTAGAGTTGACAACGAATTGAAACTTGAGGTGTGAGCTGTGGTGGATTCCACACCTATGTCTCTCACCTATGTTATTCTTTTCCTAATATGACAACAATATTATTTCAAATGTGCAACACATTTAGATTAAATAATAGGCAATACAACCACTTTACCCAACTAGTTTGCTGAATTGATCAACATTAATCAATAATCATTTAAAGAAAAGTAAGAAATCAACACTAATTAATAAGAAAGCCTCACTAGTCATCACTAGTGAAATTGAATTTACATTTGACACTCATACAATTCAAACAGACACCCACACCCATCAGGAGAAGCTGATCATGATGACCTTACAACCCTAAAAAGGCTGTGATTGAAGCAAAATAACAACTTACTATTTGGCGGGTTGGAAAAGAGTCCACCACCGCCATCTTGCTCTGCCTTACAACACAACATGGAAAAACAGCCCTCAAGATTGAGGGATCCCATCTGTAGGGTACCCCACAATCAACTGAAAATGATCAAGGGTCATCTCAAAATATAAAAACCCTTTCTCATTTTGACACACACGACACAACACCACATACTATTACTAATAATGGCCATATTACTAATACTAGTGACCATATTAGTGTCATACACAAACCATACTAAACTATACCCAAGTATATAAGCATAGGTGAGAAATAAACGAGAAAATATTACATGTTCCAGGACCAATAGCCTCGGCCAACAACCATTGTGACTCATTTGTTAATGTGTCAAGTGTTAATTGGCTCGAGAATATTTGTCGAGGACAATGTAATAATTTCTGTGAGTCCTCTAGTGAAGCTGTCTTCCGGTAAAGGTCTGGCCAAAGGACCAACTAGGTGGGGCAACATTGTAGGACACCACACTGTGACCATCACTGGTGGTGACCTTAAACGAGAGGGTCTGACCATTGAGATAGGCATTGCTCTGCCAGTTCTGGCCCCAGTTCCTTGACATTGGCTTCCAACCAGTCCTTGACCCTTTGATGAACACAGCATGGACATCACCAGCACCACCAACATTGGTTATGAGTACCAAATTGAAGTAGGAGTGACCATTGATGGTGAACCTTATGCCTCCCCTCCTCCTGCAGGGTACCCTACAAAAAAAAAAAACCCAACAACAATAAAAGCATTTACTTCCCCATCACTTCAGAAAAGACAAAACCGACAAGCCAAAAAAAAACAGAGTCAGATGAAACCAAGTTGCATGATTTGCCTTAATAAAATAAGTTTACACAAAACTTGTCAAATGAAAGGCAAATAAGGGTATTTTTTTTACATGTGGGGCTCAAAATAATTTTTTCTTTTGCCCTTTGGTTGCATTGGGGACCATAAAAGGTCATTGAACAAGAGTTGCGCTGTTTTTTTTTTTTTTTTTTTTTTTTTTTTTTTTTTTTTTTCTGAAGTTGAATTTTTAAGGGAAAAATTCTAAAGGTGTATACTACCCTTCAAAATTTAGAAGAAGACCCTGGCTCAGAAATCAAGAGATTGCAAATGGGCTGAAAGCCTAAAACAATGAAGTTAAAAGAGTCCAGACAAGTTTTTGGGTGAAAAAGTAGAATGTGCTGAAAAAACAAATCTACGAAACTTATCAAAGACCAAAATAGCTCAAAACAGAGTCATTTTGGAGGCCATAGACCAATTAAACATACCAAATAGCTCAAAACAGAGTCATTTTGGAGGCCATAGACCAATTAAACATACCTTCTATAAGCCACAGGGACAATACCAGCCCTAAATTGGGCAATGTGTTGGAAGACAGGCTGGGAGAGATCAAAGTGGTGTTGGGGAGGGTTGCACCAGCCCCCAGCATTGTTTGGTGGGCAGAAATTAGTGGCTGTGACCACAATGGAACCAGGCAGGCACCATTTGGGGTCACTCACACACCTAATCTCATAGCAGGACCCACAGCTTAACCCATTGTTGAACAGAGCTGTGCTCAGTGCTGCTGTGTTTGTTCCATAGCCCTGGCTGTACAAATTTCCATACCCACAAGCACCTCCTGCAAAAATAAATTACCCAAAATAAAAATAAAAATAAAAAATAAAAAAAACCAAAAAAACACACACTACACACACACACACACACACTACATACCCATTGTTCCAGAGGCATCACCACCTCCATAGAAGGTGGCATGAGCAGCAATCCACCCTCCACCGACATACCCATGAACAAGTGAGACCAATGAAAGAAAACCCACCAAGAAAAACCCAAAAAGAGCCATTTTCCTGCTGCACAAGGAAATTAAAGAGTAGCTTAAGTACAAGTACATAATAAGAAAAAGAAAAGGAATATCTCATTTTTGTGACAAAGTAGAGAGAAGAGATGAGTACATTGTGACTGAGAGCACTCGGAAGGAAAAAGTACAGAGAGAGAGAGAGAGTGGGAGGGAATTGAGGGAGGGAATTGAAGAGGGGGTGGGAGGAATTATTTGTAGAGCTTCTGAGAGTTCGAGGAGGGGGTTTAAATTCTTTTTGGTTACAGTCACAACTGACACTTCCGAGGCTGGGAGTATATTTTGAGCCCAAAAGTGGTTTTTGGCTTAGAACCGTGTGGTTTTGGAGCTCTCCGTGTGGTAAATCTTCTAAATCCAAACAGGGCCTAGTGGTTTTACAGAAAACATTTCACACCCAATTTTCATTTTTTTAAAGTAATCCACACCCAAATGTAACCAAACGACTATGTTTTTTGGAGTCAACATTATGCTCTCACTCTTCTTCCTTGTGCTTCATTAAATACAATACTACAGTTACCAAAGACAACTAACCAAGTCCCCTCCTCATTAGTATTAATTTATTCTTTGCTTTTATCCTGACCAAACCCCCTCTTTACACGAGTGAAACAGTTGAAAAGAATGACACCAGAACATGGGTAATTTATTGTTAAAGCAGATTCCTTTTTTGGTAATTTATTGCAGAGCAGATTCATAAGTGAAGAAGAAAACAACCTCATTTAATTCATGAACCTCTTTTTTCTTCAACTGAATCCAACATATCATACACGCGTAAATGTACACAAGGAAGGTGTCAATTATTGCATGTGGACGTGTGTACCAAGGGTCATTTGTCTCACATCGAAATTGGATGAAAAAGTGATTGGGTATAAATGGGTGGGTATGCAACACTACTCAATAGTTCGAATTTTTGGGTAAATATGCAAGCGCCCACCAGTTATAATTTGTATTAGAGCCGGACCCAATCCTTGATCCGGTGTCACGCCAAGCACCCGATCCAGAAGGCGTCCGGGTTAGCATCCCGAGTAGGTAGGGTGGCCCGAACCGCAACGAGGGCGTTGCGAGTTTGGGTAGGGGAGAATGTAATAAGGGTCATTTGTCTCACACCGGAATCGAATGAGAAAGTGATTGGGTATAAATGGGTGGGTATGCAGCACTACCCAATAGTTTGAACTTTTGCGTAAATGGGTAAGCGTCCACCCGTTACAACGTGGGAGTAGTGTTTTTTTTTTTTTTTCGATAACTAGGTGTCTGGCTTTGTCCCGCAACTAATATAAAGCGATTTATCCACACAAATTGAGTAAAACTCGAATTATGTTCATAGTCGTGGCTTCTAAAAAATTGCTCGCCCTCGAAATGATTCGAACCTAAAACTTAATGTTTCACGAGGCACTAAGTGACGTGGCTTCACCACTAGAGTCAACTCCTTGGGGTTGATGTGGGAGTAGTTGGCACTTGGTTCGAATAGTATGATATTGTTATTTTTGGATTCGAGTCCGTACGATTTTATTTTTGAGTTTTACTTCAAAATGCCTCATACTATTTGGAGTGCATCACTCGTACCCGTCCACAAGGTAGCCACAATCCACCCTGTAAGAGGCTCGATGTCCCTGTTGGTACACTTCTAGCTAGGTCAAACTCTGATACCATTTGTAATGACCTACTCAACCACATAATATGATATTGTCCACTTTTGGACTGAGCCCACACCATTTTGCTCTTAGATTTTACCACAAAAGGCACCATACTATTTGGAATGTACCAATCCTACATATATAGAACTTCCCATTTCTACACCCAGACGATGTGGGATCATGCACCCACAACCTGCCAGTGTCTCACTCGCACCTGCCCACGCACACCCACCCACGAGGTCGCCGTAAGGCGTGGGTTCGAATCTTTGCCACTATGTAAGCTCGCAATTTAACTTTGCACGTGTAATGTTGGTAATTCGTATTAGCGAATCATAATCATGTCGTGTTAATATAAGAGTATTAAATATTCAATCCAAACACGACCTATTTAATAAATGTGTCAGGTCAGGACTCTCAACATTAGCACGACTTGTTTATTAATCGGGTTAGACATATTAACCTGTTTAATGACCTATTTAGTAAATCTAGACATTATATTATTTATAATATTTAATCAAGCAGTAAATACTTGGAAAAAAAAAGTATTACAAGACTGAAAATCACAAGGTTAGCGTGAATAACATTAGTTGCACTAAGTAGAATATCTTGTGGAATATACTTTGAAAACGCGGAATATCTTGTGGAATATACTTTGAAAACACTTAGAGGGGAGTGAATAACTGCAATTTAATCCACTACCAAATTTTTGCTTATTTAGAATTCACCGAAATAAACCTAAGTAACTAACCAAAAAGCAAAATATTAAATGCAAGTAAAGTAAAAATAGAGTTTAACTTCCAGAGAAAAGTAAAAGTAAAATTTAGAGTGACATTGGGATTTTAGCAAGTAAACCCTCATCGAGAAAATCAACCAATTGATGGGGAAAAACTTAGGAGACTGTCACAGAGTCTTGAGCGAAAAAAATCCACTATAGATGAAATAAAGTAGAATTGTCTTTGATTCGGACTCATACATTTTCACTCTACCAAGAATCCATCGTTGAACGTCTTTGACTTTGTGACTCTTCCTTCCAAACAAACTTAACTTCATGCTGACTTCCTTGATCCCAATAGAAGGATTGTTAGTAGATCAAGAAACACTCCACGAATTCTTTGATCTCTTTAAAGTGTGATATTCTCCTCATTTGTTTCAAATCTAGAGTTTTGAAGTTTAAAATAAAAACTACTTTGATGATTGGTAGCAAAAGATCTCTAGTTATGCGAACTCCGATCAACCATAGAACTATATCCTAAATCACTCAAGTATATAGGTGTGTGTTCTAAAAAAATAGAAAAATAAAACTCTTTGAAAAACTCACACAAAGGCTCTGTAGGGTTTTGAAATCATTAATTTGAACTAGTTCAGTTTAGAAACTCTATCGGTTGGAATTTTACCGATTGCTATTTTAACCACTGCACTCCTATGTAATTTTAAATATACTCACTAGTGTTCCTCACACACTTACCTTGACTACATGTAGTTCAAAGTCGGATCGAAGTAGTCGTGAATAGCTTGCACATGAAAATCCGCTTCCGACACCGAAACTCAAATATAAATAAAAAAGTACAACTCGATCAGATTCGATTTGACACCGAAATATGTCAAGTACAAGACTAGAAAAAAAAAAAAAAAAAAAAATATGACAAATAAGGAGTTGATGTATATTTGTTAGGTTTTATAATGAAATGGCCTAATTGTCCGTACTTGTTCTAATTAACTCAATTATAATACGTTTAGTTAAATGGGTATAAATGAATTACATAAGTTGAACTTCTCAACCCTAATTCGATACTATTAATTATACCGGTTAATCATGTGATCCCGTTTACAATCCAAAGTTAATTAAGGTAAACTAAAATTCGCTTATTTGATGTCGTGTTCAATCGTGTTGGTTGATCGTGTAGAACTTTGACACTCCTATTGAGGGTTGGGCATGATTTACCTTGAAGTCACAAGTCTAAAAGGAGCTGGTGGTTGAAAAGATTTTCAATTTCAAAAAATCAAAAAAAAATTAAATTGCAATGTAATAACTTAAAAAAAATAATAATAAAAAAATAAATAAAATAAAATAAAATGACAAAGGGGAATTGATAGTCTAAAAGGGGCCGGTGGCGGAAGTGTTTCTCTTCACGGACTATACAGTACGGATGGGAAATAAAATATTTAAATGGTATAAAATCTGCATGTAAAATAAGATCTCTAAAATAAATTGATTAGCTAAAAAAATGTCCGAGAATCTAGGAAGTGTGTTTCAATTTTCCCGGTTAAGAACAATTAAAGAAGATTTAATTAAATTGTGAGAATCATAACAAAATTAATACTAAAATAATAAGATCAAATTATGACAATCATGATATAAATGTGGTTCGTAAATTTGCAACTCTGCACATGCCATTCTGAATCGAGATAGATGTACTTGAGAAGTTCTTTGGAAGTATCTCAAAAGGAAACAAATAATATAATAAACGAACATGATTAATTATATATATATATATATATAGAGAGAGAGAGAGAGGTGATCTCTCACTCACCAAGAAATTTTATTCACATTATGTATGGTAACAGCCAAATATGATCCAATCATATTACAAATCTATCATTATCATTTTTTAATTTAACAAAACCTCTATTCTACCTATTTAAAAGTTTCTAAACCTCTTTTCTTTTTCATTTAATGTTTTGTTTGGTTAGATGGATAAAAAAATAGATGAAAAAGATAAGGTATAGATGAGAAATGGAGTTTTTATATATTTTTTTATCAATATACACTTATTGTGTAAGATAATAAAAGGTAGACATCCATTCAATTTTTTTTAAAAATGTTAAAATTGAAAATTCCACGTTTATGTAGTTATTCGTTTTCTTTCTCTTCCATTCCCCCAAAAATTGGACAAATAAGAAAACATGAAGACTAGTATGTTTCATCCCTCTTTGCTTCTTCCCACTGTAGGGGGTTCTTTTTTATCAAGCAATAAATAAGTATACAACTATAATATCAGAAATACAAATACGAAGAAAACAGAGGAGATGCTCAGTAGGAGGAGGAGAAGAAGACCAATCATCAAGATTAAGATGGTGGTAGGGCAAGTATACAGTATCTTATAATAGCTTACCCTTCTGGTTGGTTATTCCTTCATGGGATAGTACTATTTATAGGCTCGGATTCCGTTGGTTGTTATTCAATGATCCCTTCCGTGCATGGTTCCTCGCATGCATTGCTCCCAGTCAAGATTACGTGGGTAATCTTGGAGGTTTAGGAGTCTGAAGAGTCTAATCCTCTCATCGAGCCTTGCACTATGTTGCTATGTCACTTCTCCCTTAATCAAGAACATTAAATGTTGCTTGGCCACCGGTTGG